ACCTGGCCCTCAGCCAGGGTCAACCCACTACTGTAGGAAAAATATATACCACAGTAAGGATCTTGATGCATAACAACTTTGTGGAACTTAATTATGATTGAACTATTTCCAGGTGCTGGAAGAGTTCTCTTTCCAAGCATGGGAAGGGATAACACGCTAGCAAGACCACCGCTAGGGACACCACCACAGAGACGCCAATCTACTACACTTCTGAAGATACAAAAGAAACGGCTGTTCACTTATCGGAGCTTTTTACAGATTGAGTCAACCCATAATAGGCTCACGCAGGTCAGCCAGTCTCAAGTTTTCTAGGAAAGGGACACCTTTAAGAATGAAACATATATTCCTTCTGTGGTTTTAAACAATTCCTCTGGTGATGGTGCACACTTGCAGTAGCAAGAGTTTCCAGCTGAAAATGAAACATGACTTAGAGCAACAGGCACCCTAAGGGAAAGTCCTTGCCAATGCCAAATAATACAAGTTTACCTCATTAACATGGCAGGGGGAGGAAGAAAGGGCTGCCCACCTCTGAATTCCATCCAAAAGCAGAACACCCAAGACAGGCTTTCATAGCACCTAACTGTATGCAACTTCAGGCAGACACCTGAAGTATTCCCAGTGTATTCAGTGTAATCCTTTAGAGTAGGCGTCTACTTTAGATGTTCTGCACTGCTCTCTGAAGACATCCACCTCTACACACAGCCTACAGAGACTAACTCCTTAACTTAGACACTTAATACCAAGAACTGAATATCCCCAAAATGGCACAATTTACAGCGTTCCTAAATGCTGGAGCAGGATACTACTACCTGGTGATGTAGATTAAAGGAAACAACTAGCAAAGTCGCCCTGTGGGAATTCATCACTTTGAGTGATGGGGACCGGGCAAGGTGTGAGTCAGGGAAGAAGCACATCTCTCCTCAAACTGTTCTATTTAAAATGTCTTTAGGATATCAAACTTTGGCATGTGGAGACTGCTAAACAAATACAACTGAACACGGTAATAAAATCAGTACAGTATCTAATATACTATGATACATAACTGTTCTTTTAATTAGATGTGAGGGTTTTTTTAAAAGTACAGATACTCTTGCAATAACTCTTTAGAATGCAATAAATCAACAACTAGCTGTCCCTACCTGTATTTTCTTGCTGTTAGTTTAGATAAGATCTTTCAAAATAAGATCTTTCAAAATCCAAAGAAAAAGGGAAGATAAGAAAAAACATACAAAACAACTCCTCCTCCCCCCAAAAAAATTCCAAATCCCAAACTACAAGACAAAAGAATACATTTCTTCAAGTCATAATAAATTATTGAAACTAAATATTATCCTACCTTCCAAAGTCCTACTAGGAGTCCTGGATTCAGGCTGAAGAGTTGGACAAGCTTATCAGCACCAACTGCTACGCTACTTTCAGTCAGGTTAGCAAGATGGTATTCAGCAATTAAGGAACGTCGACGAGGTCTTTGAAAAAAACATACAGAATGTAGCAACAAGACTATGTCTCCTTATTTATGTAAAAGTTCAGCCTAATTCCATTTTTAACTCTGAAGTCTGACCAACAGCACATGACGAAAATGGTTTTGAAAGCATTCAGCATGCATAGCCATAAACTTTACTTCGGAACAAATACAGCATACTAGCAGGATCTCAAAACCTAACAGGAAAAGAGACAAAAGCCACCATAGGATGGCCCAATATACCACTAAAAAGAGGAAAAACTTATATGCTTGCCCAATATTTCAAAATAGTCACAGAATTACTTTATAATTTATTTCTAATACTATGTTCTTACTAGATGGAATCAGTGAATATTTATCAGTATGAAGCAAGCTACTAAGAAGGTGAATTCTTCCTCCACAGAATGAAAATTCCAAGGAAAGGATCAAACTGTACACATAATAAATTAAAAGCTTCTGCTAGAGGAAGCTTTCCTTTTGGGGAAAATTATTTACAGATTTTGCCTGTAATTAAACAGATTTTGCTCCATAACAGCCTTTAACTAAACTTCATACTTCACAGATGTTCTTATTGGTAATGACGTATAAAAAAAGAGCAGAAAGTAGAGTCTGTGTTACCTATTCAGAATGGAGAAATAACTCTTTCAAAAATGCTTCACAGACTTAGGCTCTTATTATATTCAATACTGTTCCTAGACTTCCCAGTAGTATCCCAGTACTATCACCTACCACTACACACTGCTAGGAAGACAGCAACTGACAGGAACTTCATCACATTACCTTGAATTGTAAGATTTGGGGCTGGGATGGGACACGAACCATTTCCTTCAGTAACATAGATTACCAGACTGTTGTGACATAAACATCATGAATCCAATCTAAATGTCTCACATTAAATTCTCTTAGATTTACATGTTTGTTTCATGCTCATTTGTATCTACGCCTTAGATTCAGCTTTCCAAGGCAGGACCTATCAGTCTGGACCTTGCATGCCAGTAGCTACATTAAGCTACGAATTAATGTCATAGCTTGCTGGTTTATATCTATTTCTTGCTAAAAAGCTCTACCAATGAAGAGAAGGACATAGGCTTTGGAAGAAATACTACAGAGAGGCTTTCTAAGAGAGAATTAACAAGTTAAAAGTCAAACCAAGGTCAGATAGCTCCTACGGACACATTATCCAAAAAACTCTCAAAAATCCTATGTGAACACTCACCCATTCTTGCTGGGAGCTCTACTTTGCTCAGGAAGCAATGGTGTAACTCCGAATAGTTTGAGGGTTGACAGGATGTCTAAGCATGGCCAACTTGTACTATACCAAAGTATAGTAACAGATGTATCCTTAAACAGTAGGTTTGCCTTCTCCATCACATGTTCCTTTCCATTTTTGTCCTTTAGAACAATTATCCAACTCAAGCCAGAGGCTCTGTTATTTAGGAATTGAGAAGGGAGGAGTACGTTTAAAAAAAAAAATTATTCTCAAAGTGACAAAACTTAAACAATGCTTCCAACAGAATTTTTAAATTTCTACTAACTGCTACTTATGTTTCTCAGGCTAGGTCATTTATAGGCTATCATCGTACCTTCCCATTCTGATATACATTTTATAACTCTATTTCCATATCCCCCCCAGCATTTCCAAAGCCATTAACATTCTGTGCATTGTTCTCGAGTAAATGTCTTCTGTGACAAGGCATTGCTTACTTCATAGCTTCTTTGTTTTTACATGGAAGACCTGTATAAGGATCTACAGGTTTAACAAGTCGCATTACTCTAGTTTTGACAGCAGCTATTTGTTTGAAGATGTATTCTTTCTTCCAGTACCCAGGCTTTCTATCATGTAGAGCAGCACAGTCCAAGGAAACAGTTTCTGCTTGATCAGACTTCATCGTCCAAATTGTCCTCTTTGGTTGAAAACAACTGGAAAAGATTTTCAGCCAGATTCTACTGAAAATAAAAATAAAGAGGAAAAGCACATAAATTTCAAGAGAGTTACTTAATTATTCTTATAGACCTGCTCAGATACCACTGAGTGATATAAAGTCCAAGATTATCAGCAAACTGGGTTTGATCTAAATTCAAGTCATATCAAGCCCAGAAACTCTAGCCTCCCAGGTACCAGTCAAGAATACACAAAGCCACAGTCTTACACTTTTCCCCATTTTGACCTTCCAACAGCTCGTATCAGGTGAGTTTCCCTGGTGCAAACATGAAGGCTCAGGAACAAAAGATGTGAGATGTCAGCACTTCTCATGGGTTTACTAGGTTATCTCAAAGAATATGGAATCTCTGAACACCCTTCTTGTTCTGGCTTATACATACCAAATGAGATCCATTTATGACTTTCTGCTCTACCAAAGGAAAAAAAAAAAGAAAAAAAAAGAAAAAAAAGAAAAAAGAAAAAAGAAAAAAGAAAAAAGAAAAAAGAAAAAAGAAAAAAGAGAAAAGAAGAAAAGAAGAAAAGAAGAAAAGAAGAAAAGAAGAAAAGAAGAAAAGAAGAAAAGAAGAAAAGAAGAAAAGAAGTAAAGAAGAAAAAAGAAAAAAGAAAAAAGAAAAGAAGTAAACAAGTAAAGAAGAAAAAAGAAAAAAGAAAAAAAAGAAAAAAGAAAAAAGAAAAAAGAAAACAAGTTATTCAGTTAATTCTTACAATACACCAGTGAGGTTGATAAACATCTCAACTACATACACAGAAAATGTTTGACTAGTGCTTTAAAAGTAGGATCATTAGATATTGGGAACTTCCCACTGTTTCATGCCTCTCAATAGCACATTAGAGTATCTGTTTTTTAAAAAGCCTTCCTTCCTCTTATGCTGCTACTTCCTTCACAGCCATTCCCTTACACTCACTGAAGCAGATTAAAAACAAAAACAAAAAACAAAAAAAACCCCAACCAACAAACCAACCCACACCAGTACATATTTGAGAGAAAGCTATCATGAGAAAACAAAACAAAAAAAAAGATGTCTTGCCTGTCTTCTTGAAAATAAATTACTTTTGAAAATTCCACCCCAAAACAATGATGCATCCTTCTCACACAAACTAGGTGGTACAAAAAAGTGTTTTAATACATCCTGCTCAACAAAGACAATCTGGACCCCTCAAGTTTCTCACACAGATCCAGTTGAAAGTGAGTTGGAGGAGGATAATTAGAATCACCTATGTTTGGTGGTAGTACCACTGTCATGTCAATCTCTTGTGCACTCTCTTTTGAAAAGCTCAGAGAAGAGATGTTTTTTTGAAGAGATCAAAGAAACCTGCAACAGGAATGATGAGTTCACCTCTTTCCTGTTATGAAAAATATGAGGTCACATTTCTGCCCCCCACACTCCAGTGGGGGACAGAATAGGACAATACAGGGAATATTAACTACCAGAAGTTACAAGAATTGAAACAACAAACTGTGAGTAAAGGTTTCCAATAAGTTTTCTAACTTTAAAGTGCTAGCCAAACAGTCTACATAACTGCACTAAAGAAAATTAATAGCAACAGAAACAAATTCTCAAGAGAAATTCTCTATCATTTATCAGCAAGATTACCTTTACCAGTCCTCACTTATCCCCAGGCAAACTTACACCAACGTGCTTTGTAATGCATTTTCCCCTCCTTAAAGCATTAAAGCATTCAAGGACTGAATCCATCCCACACTGCCACCTACCCATGAAAACCACTCTCACTTCATCAGCTGCTGAGAATAAGTCCCCACATGCCAAGAGCCAGGCTCTTTGTTACTGATGCAAATGTCCCCAGGAATTTTGCAAAAACCTTCCTCCAGCCTGCTGCTTTGCAGGTACATGTACAATCTCCCGCTGCCGTTTTTGAGTCAAAGCTGTTTAAAACACAGAGACCCATAAGCTTCTATGACTGGTAAAGGGGGGTTCACAATTCACAGTCAACACGAGCTTCCAACTTTACTTTCCCAGAATTCAGGAGCTGGGGGGGGAGGTGAAGCAAAATCTCGTAAGTAAAACAAAGATTTAATATACTTCAGTTTTGAGACCAGAAAACACAACCCAGTCACCAGACAGTATAAAACATTTCTGATAGAGGGAGGAAATTTTTATTTAGCTCCAAAGCAACTAAGACTTGTGGGATGATGAAAACAGAGGAGAGATGTCCCTGACACACCATCACCAGGGGAAACTGAGCTGTGTATGATCCACTTGGTCTTATTCAGCCTAAAAAGTCCACTAAGATATCCACCTATAACCCTCTACTGAAAGCTCCTCCCAAGACAGACATCCTCTCTTTCATGGGGAGAGATGCTAAGCACCTGGCTGCATGATGCTGGAGACAGGGGTTAGTAGCAGCCATTTTCTGCATTTTGAAGGTACAGTCTCTGACAATGTGAGCTGAATGAAGACAGACTTGCCATCAATACCTACAACTCTTCTCCTCACTCTCAGTTACATACTGCTTCTTCCTTTCCCAAAACAGCATTGTGTAAGCGTATGAGAAATCAGTTCAAGCAGCTCAAAAATTCAGTCAGGGCAGGGAGGCAGAGGAGAGAAAAAGGGGGACTTGGAATCACAAGTGTTTAGGCAGGTATCACTGCCCCTTCATCCTCAATTTCTGAAGAATTCAGGGTAGAGAAATCAAAAAGGCATCCAACAGAAAAGCCTCTTTCACAGCAAGATACATACCACTTTTGACTCAAAGTGTTAAGTATAATATTCATCTTAAGGTCTCTTATTGGATGTTGTTACAACAAGCTCTTACTGCCAACTGAAATGCCAGAATCAGACATGCACCATTGTCAGTCATCACTTGACCACAATGACAAAATAATCTGGGCAAGGCAAAAAGATCTTCCCCTGTACTCTGGCATCTCCCTTCCTCTTACACAAGCACTTTGTGCTGGTAATCAAAAGCCTCAGGCTTTCAGACAGACCATCTATGTGAGCTTCCCACACTGCATGAGAGGAAGCCTGGAATAATGCCACATGCTGGGGCAGGAGGGTGCAGAAAGTGGGGTCAGAAACATTTCCCCGCCTTCAACAGTCACACTGAAGACATCAGTGCCAAGGAACTTTTAAAGTGCAGACATTATTTGAAGACCCCAAAAACAAAGCACAGCATTAGGCAGCACACATGAAAGACTAATGGTTCTGTTGCATCAAGGACAGCATCCTGTACATCAAGGACAGCAGAAATATCCACAAAAAGATACTCTGCCTAAAAACCAGGATCAGATTTGTCACAGAGACATGCAGGGACTTCAATTAAAACTTCTGTTAATTTACCAAAAGATTCAGGGATTTAAGAAGGTTCATGGAAATCCAGCAGGAAGTGACCTGGTCCCACTGAACCAGTCAGTCTCCTAGATAAGGCAAACTATGTCCTCCTCAAATCCCATTTGTGCACATACGTAATCTCTGTCAAGATTATAAAATGGAAACAGACACTGTTGAGATGGAGACAGATCAATCAGCTTCCCTTGAACAGCCACAATGATTTTATACTACCTTACTATCTTGAAGTGGAAAACACCTATTAAGATAGATAATTTGTGTCAACTATGCAATTTTTATCTTCATGCACCTGCTGACAGCCTCAAAAAATAAATCTGGGCTATGGCCTTCTGTCCTGGTTTCAGCTGAGAGGGTTAATTTTCTTCATAGTAGCTAGCATGGGGCTATGGTTTGGATTTGTGCTGGAAGCCATGTTGGTAACATAGAGATGTTTTTGTTCTGTGGGCCTATTGTTGAGCAGTGCTTACACACAGCCATGGCCTTTTCTACTTCTTGCACTGCCCTTGCAGCAGGATGGCTGGGGGTGGACAAGAAGTTGGGAGGAGACACAGACAGGACAGGTGACCCAAACTGACCAGAGGGATATTCCATACCATATGACATCATGCTCAGTTTATAAGGAGCTTGGGGGAAGGGGGGTGGGGGTGGCAGCATTCAGAGTGATGGCGTTTGTCTTCCTGAGTAACCGTTACATGTGACAGAGCCCTGCTTTCCTGGAGATGGCTGAACTCCTGCCTGCCCATGGGAAGTGGTGAATGAATTCCTTGGTTTGCTTTGCTTGTGCGTGCGGCTTTTGCTTTACCTATTAAACTGTCTTTATCTCGACCCACGAGTTTTCTCACTTTTACTCTTCTGATTCTCTCCCCCATCCCAATGGGAGGGAGTGAGCGAGCAGCTGCATGGTGCTCAGCTGCCGGCCGGGGTAAAACCACACCACCTTCCTTTTAAATTCATCAGTTCTAAAGGTGTAAATGCCAATGCTAACCAATTCACTGTACAAGTTTTGGTAAATAAGTGAGAAATGGATTAATACCAGATGCAGCAACTTCCTGTATACAAAGACATTTTCTCATTTAAACAACACTAATGCAGCAGAATCCTAGAAAAAAATGATACCCAGACATCCTAGTTATCACATACCAACCACGGTCTCTCCTCTTTAGCCTTTCACAAAATTGTCATGATACTAGTAGGAGCAATTTATGAACTCTGTATAAGCAACCACTTACAAAAAATGTGTTAATATTTAACTTTGTCCCTTTTGTTTTCATTTAGAAGTCACCAAAATTTGACAGAAAAGGCAAGAGATAAAACCCACCAGTGAATCACTTCACTAAATCAAACCCTCTGCAAAAAACTGATGAAAGAGCTAAATAAGTAGGACTTCAAAATTATGAAAGCTATAAGAATTCTACTGGCTATACACAAATAAATATTGCCTGAACCAAAAAGCCTGTGCAGGTGCATGGGAATACAAACAAATATATGCAAATTTTACAACAAAATAAATGCTAATAGCAACATTTCAAAACACTGTATTTAGTTTTCGCCTCATGACTCCCATTAAACTTAACAGGGCTTGCACAGCTAGAATTCCATTCAACACATTGTACTGTGAGCTATGCAGCACATTTTCAGCAGAGTAATTGCCAGTAGGTACATGCATCAGTGCTCTGGCATCAGTGAAACTAAATTAGAAAGACTTATAACTCGGGTAAACTCAACTCAACTGCTGCACAATTAAGACTAGCATTTATGCTTCCATCTTCCTTACTTGTCATTGGCCAGATGATAGAAGCGCTTATTCACACAACCAACACACAAGAGGGACACAGCATCCAAATAGGTAAATATCTTCATCAGCATTTCTGATGGCATGCTGGAAAACAAGAGAAAGAGAAATACCGTTAGACTTGCCTGCAAACTCCAGAAATTACAAAGAATTTTAATTCAAACCGGAGCACAATAAAAGCCATAGAAACTACCAGCTTGTAAATACACAAATCAAAACTCACCCAAAAAGTTAATTTGCAAAGTTTGGGTTCTGATTTGTCTCTCTGGTCTAAAAAATTTACTTACATCAATTCACCACAACCTATTCAAGGGGAACAGCACAATTATGTGAAAAGTTATGGGTTTGCATTTTCATTAAACTTTGTTAACTCTAACTCAGTTTGACATGAAACTATCTTATTCAACTTCAGTTTCTCACTGCTTATACCATGATTTTAACACTTAGTCCACAAGCGCCACCATTTGCCAGAACTGCGTATACTCACTCTCCTCCTGACCGTGGTGTCAGGCCTCAGGATGCACCAGGACAGAAATATCCTAGTCAAACAGTGAGATCAGCTCTACCTCATAAAAATCTTCAAACCACATGTGCTCAGGGGTCTCATACAGTTTTCATTTATGTCAACAGAAAGATGTGAACTTCAAAATAAGAGCTGAGTGGCATCTTGAGAACATTAATGTTTCTGTGCATCTGTAAGGCTGCCTGAAATGCAGGTGCCAGCCTAAGTACCAGCAGCACAACATAACCTGCATATGAGCCACCAAGATTTCTGTACTGACAGAAACCTCACACCCTTCGACCAGTATCTGGTAACTGCACAGAGTTTAAAAAAAAAAGATGTATTTTATACTCTAACTTTTTGGAGCATGACAGTACGGTAACATCAAAATCACCATTGAAAATACAGGCTGCTGTGAAAGTCAACACCTCAGTTGTATCTCGTCGATTTACTCCTGTGTCATTCACAACACTTACTGATTTATAACACTTTATTCCAAAAGCATACAGCTTTCAAACATAGAATGATAATAATGCTAATACTCCAAGTTTTGTGTTAAAACCCAGAATCTTAGCTGCACTAACAGAGGCAACTGTGCCAAAACTTGCAGTTATTATGTGGAATAACTCATGGTCTAAGCCCAAAACAGTGAGTGCATTTATTCCACAGAGAATTTAGAAATGAGCTGCAAATTAACTACAATAATATGCTTGAACTAGAATTCTCAACAGTAGTTTTTACAACCTTTTTTTTTCTTTGAAGGAAGCTGATAGAAGCAGTATTTTTCTTTTTTCTCATCTTTCACACTGAACTAACAGCATAAGGGACTGAACTAACTATCCAATGGGAAACAGAGAAATGACTACACAGGAAGCTAAAAATGTATAAAACAAATTTATCTTTCATATGATATATTCTTAGATGTTTTTGTAGAAACATAACAGATTTTAAAAAAGAAAACAACTCACAATTAGACTGGCAGTGCCCTTTCACTGTCAAACAGGGAGGGAAACATTTACCTCGCAGCAAATATGCAGTAGCCACTTTATTGCTACCCCCCTCATCCCATTCCACTATCCTAAGCCTCTCTATACAAAGCATCAAGCATCAAGAGAAACATCAGAAGTTTAATTCCAAACTGGCTTTTATTGAAGTAATACAGTAGCAATTTTTATTCTCAAGGAACATCACAGCCCATGATTTGCAAAGGAGTTGCTGAAGGCTTTGTATGACTTGGAAAACCTACATACTTCATACGAACTTAAAAAAGGAGGCAAGAGAAAACCATACTTGAAAACATTAGAAGGTCAACACAGGATCACAAAGTAGGCCAGGAAAGCAGTTCTTTTCTTTCCAACTCAGAACATCTGGCATGGAAATCTCCAAGGTACGAACACAATAACTGTAAGCAGTCAAAAGATGGCTTACAGTGTGCATGTTTACTCCTAAACTAAAGACATACTCACTTCTCAATGCACAAACTAGGTTTTCGTTTCATGGAAGGCGTCAAATAGAGACTTTTAATTGCAGCATTTACAGGTTCAGAACATTCCCCAGGCCTGGCAGCAAAGTTTCTTGACCTATTTCTAAAAAGGAAAAGCTGTTAGGAGTCGCATCATCACAAAATGAAAAAGTATGCCTATTGTGCAGACCTAGACACCACATCTCAACCGAGATTCAGGGAAAACATCACATCGTAACTCATTATTATCAGATCACAAGTTTGAACAATTATCACCAAGTTAAAATACCTGACATCAGAAAGATGCCAGATTTAAACTCATAGGTGTCTCTCCTATGATTAATCTCTCACAGTAGTCAGAAGGAAGTAGTGCTGCACCATAAAATCAGTTTGAATATGGTAAAGATCTATTAATGTTAGACAGCTACACCACTGTGGCCACCATAACCAAGCTGCAGACAGGCCTCTGCAGTAAGTCAAACTCACTGATTAATCTTCCGTTTCGCAACATTAATCCAGAGATGGTTTTGAGCCATCCAAATTCCGTAACCTATCAAAAAATATCAAATAAAACAGTACCCTGAAACATTCTCAAAAATTGACAAGGCTCAAAAAGACTACACAACAGAATCATATTTGAAACAAATTTACAGTATCATTTCAAATTTTCCCCTGCTAGAATAGTGGAAATGTATCAACGTTTTTATTATCAAAGAATCATAGAATGGTTGGGGTTGGAAGGG